TGACTGGATGAGTCATAGAACGCAAACACTCATTGGTTAGCTAAAGGAAATCATCAGAAGCAAGCAGGTGTTCTTCAAACTGCAAACGTGAATTGTCTATGCCATGCTACAATGATGGATTCAGAAAAAGATGTTGAAATGTCTGAAAGGTCGGACACAGGAGAGAGCGTATCGGGAGATGGAGACCAACAAGACCTCCCTCATCCTTGGCCCTATCTCAAAGAAATTTTTTGAAATAGTTGAAAAATTGAGCTTTAAATTCATATGCTATTCTTTGGCGTTAAACAGTTTTCAGAGGAGTGATCATAGCGCTCTGCATCATCAGTGCTGCCTGTGTGGCACGCGAGAGGTGCGATCGTCTTAAAAAAAAAACATACCATCCAAACAGACTGCGGCGATTGTGAGCAGGGCTTTAAAAAGTTTAATGGATTAAAATCCAATAAAAAAGAGATAAAAAGATAAGTTAAAAGGAAAAGGGTTAAAAAGAAAGATAAAAATACGGATGGTGAAGAGCAGCAGAGTCAATGGCCCAGTCTGTTAAAAGACGCACACTTGGCGGGTATAATGGAGGGCACCGTCCACCCCAGCGCTGGATCCTCGTTCCGGTACGCTGCGCGTGTGGGCCTCTCCAGCATAGCTGGCCTTAGCAAGGTCACCTCCAACACGCGCCTCCACCCCAGCGCAGGATCCTCGTTCTGGCACGCTGCGCATGTGGGCCTCTCCAGCCTAGCTGGCCTGCGAGGTCACCTCCAACACGCGCCTCTCGCCAGCGTGCCTCTGCGCCTCGCCCCATTACGGGCCTCTCTGCACCCCACTCCGGTGCGCGTCTCTGCACCTCGCTCCGGTGCGCGTCTCTCCGGCGTGCGTCTCTGTACCTCGCTCCGGTGCGCGTCCCTCCGGCGTGCGTCCCTGCACCTCGCTCCGGTGCGCGTCCCTGCACCTCGCTCCGGTGCGCGTCCCTGCACCTCGCTCCGGTGCGCGTCCCTGCACCTCGCTCCGGTGCGCGTCTCTGCACCTCGCTCCGGTGCGCGTCTCTGCACCTCGCTCCAGCGGGCCTCCTGCCGTCAGTCCCCAAACCATAATCCACATATTTAACTCTTCTAATTCTTTTCTGTATTTAGCTTGTTTTCTTTTTGATTTATACACCAACTTCATCTCCACCTTCTGCTGAATCTTCATCAGCGGCTCAACTCTCAACTTTCCATCCCAGCCCTCCTTCTCAATCCACTTTCTGGCAAACTTTGGGTCACCACCACAACACGCCACCATCCATCTAACATCATCTGGCATTTCCTTCTTACTACTGCCTTGTCCCATTTTTAAAGAATTTAGTCCAGTACACAGCGGTTTGATTGTTTCCTCA